CAAGGAATGCTTAAAACCTAATTCAATAGCTTAAATAAGAAAAAGTTACATTTAATAATTAATTTCAGTTTAATGAGGTTCGTCATTTTCTGGATTTTCGATGGTTCGATCTGGTTTTATAAGCAGTCTAATTCTAATTGGATTTTAATGTTAACCTGATCCGAACATATATCCAGTTCACAATTTAATCTGGTTCGATCACTAGTTCATTCCGGTTTTAAAAACACAGTTGTAAGGACATCTATTGTCTTTTCCCTCTACTTAAATGATGGGAGTTGGTGTCAAAACGAAGCAACATTGTCAATTTTTAGCTCTGCTTTTACAAGGAGAAGGGTATTCCTAAGTCTGTAGATAACTTTGGCTAGTTTGTGAGTGTTTGAATGTTAGAGGCCTTAATCTTCTTTGTCGTTTTCTTTTCAGAGGTCAAGGTTTTTCCCTAAACCTAATGTTTAGAATGCCTAGATTCTTTGGGCTAGTTGCTTGGGTGTGGTGTTTGTTCTCTAGCCTTCTCCATTTTCTTTTCTTCTTCGTCTTTTTTGATGCTTGTAAAATTTGTTTTAAAGCTGTCTATATTGTTTGTCCTCCAAGTTCTTGGTCTTAGATGTAATTTAGACATCAAAATTTTTTCGGTACGACGTTAGGCTTAGTTCATCTTCTTCTCTTCTAACAGTTCTTTACAACCTTTGATTTTGCATTTATTATCTCTTGTTGTGTCTTAATATTATAAGGTTTTCTGTTTGGTTGTTTCTAATTCTGTTATATGTTTTATTGTAACCCAGATGGAAAAAGAGTTACTAACATTTTTTCAATTTATATCATTGCTCGTTTTTTAGATCTCTATGTTAGTTGTATCTAGGTTGTGTTTTGGAGAAATCCATATCTCCCTTTTGTGGGGCTTAAATTCTCAAGATTTTTTAATTGGTCGGTTTCGGCTACAAAAACTTGGTAGTACGTCTGCTTTTAGATCTTGTATTTTTTTTATTATCAATATATATATTTCAGTTTGGAATATTAAAAGAGAATTTTATTAACAACACTAACTCGCATACTATTGTGCAATCTGGTTCTCCATTTTTAGGCTTTTGGCTCTGCGGACACATATGCAGTTCGTTAGCTTTTGGCTTTGGAGACATATGCTTGTAATCCAACGGATTGTGTAGTTCTCTTATGGATTTCTATTCAATAATATACCATCAACTGCAAAAAGTTAAGTGTTATTAGTGAAATTAATAAAATAAATATAAGTAAGGATAAATTTTTTTTTTTTGTCGACAGTAAAGATAAATTTTTTATCACCCCAAACCTTTATATCCAATTAAATATCCCAAATAGTTTTTGGTCCAATTTAGTTCTCCAAGTATTGTCCGTTTACTCAGTTTACGGATTCGTGTTAGCGAGGATTAACGATATTGTGGACAATGTTAAACGTGGACTAATTTTCTCTCTAATTGATCAACAAAATTAATTGTGTACAAGAACATAACAGGAGAGCAAACTAGGGTTCATCAAGTTTCTCTCTTACAAATACGTGATCAAAACAAATATAATTATAAAGATTTTTAAAAACTTATTGTTTTTGATTCTTTTATCAAAACCTTTATTGATAAGCAGGTGGATTATTTTTTAAAGGTTTTAAAAATATATTATATTATGTATGTACGACAAAATAACTCATTGGTTTTCTTTAACATGAAATAAATTAAATTTATTATATCTTCAAAAAAAAGGGATAAAGATTGAAAAATCAAACCTTATATAAATGATAAGATTCAACATAGGTAATGCATCTTATAGTTTGTTTTGGCAACAAATTACGATTTACAGTTGAAGATAAATTTATAAGTTTTGTTATATAGTCAATTGAAATTTTTGGCACGTTATTTATTTTTCTAATAAGTTATTTTGTTGCGTAAATTAATGCTTAGTCAATTTTAAATTTTTATGCGTTTTAGTTAATGTTTAGTCAATTTAACATTTTTACGCGTTAATTAGCTTGGTAATAAAGTTTTAAATTTAAGAAAGAAGTATATTTTTTTCTAAAAAACTTTAGGATAGTCAATCGGACATGATAAGATTGAAAATTTTATCTTTACAAATCATACATCTTATCTCGCTATTTATATCTGTAAGTGTAATTTTTTTCTCTCACAAACCAAATAAAATAACAAATAAAAAAAAGAGAGATATCATATCAAAAAGTGATATGGGACGAAAAAAGATAAAACTTGCATGGGTGGCAAATAAAAATAAAAGAGCTGCGAGTTTGAAGAAAAAGATAGTAGTGTTGGTGAAAAAAGTTAGCGAACTAACCATATTGTGTAATGTAAAAGCTTGTATGATCGTGTTCAGCCCTAAAGAGGTTGAAACCAATGGTGTGGCCATCTGTTGAGGAAACTCAAGACCTCGTACGCGATTTCTTTGCCTTGCAAGAATTCGAGAGGATAAAGAACAAGACGAGTCTCGAGTCATACTTGATGAAGAAGACAAGGAAGGTTGAAGAGAAATTGATGAAGATTCGTGAGAAGAAAAAAGAGTATACGTTTGATCAATTTATGGTGCTACTAAATCATGGCCGTAAAATTGGTGATCTTAACTTACGTGAGATCGATGGATTGCTATATTTCTCAAAGGAAAAGATCATTCATTTCATGAATAGCTAGGTTTCACGCAATATCTTCCTATTCACGATCCACCAGTGAATATGTTTGATGCGGAAACTAAGGATCTCATAACCACCATAAATGATGTTTTCATGATAAGAGACGGTCAAGACGATGAAAGATCTGGGAATACTTACGACGCATCAAAGAGGATCAGCATTTGTAATGTAATAAGAGATAATCAAAGTCATTACTTAATGGATCAATGGGTTTTTGCATCTTCTGAACCGCTTAGCCTACAAATCGACCATACAATCGAGATGGGAAAGGGATCTTACAACGAAAATCCATACGTATCAAGCTATCGATATGCAGGGGAAATCCTCATCCCCACGAGAGAAATCCACATCTCTCAATAACATACCAGAAAAATCCTCATCTCTTCAAGAAAAATCCTCATCTCCCAA